TGACAAATAAAACTGTGTAAGCGAATCGAACTGATGCAAAGTGCAGAGGAGGAGATGCTAACAAAAATTAAATAGGCTCTAAATCAGAGAGCATTTTCAAGAAGAAATCCCAACCCAATTCTTTCTGTTACATTGACCGGGCAGTTTCTTAAAAGAAGTATAAGCTGTCTCATACATACTTAGAACATAGAACTCTTGTCTGCTTCCCAAAGCTTCAGTTTTTGCTTTTCCCAAAATTTTGTGCTTGACAACTGGACAGAAGGCTATGCTGAATTAAATTTTATTGTTCTGGTGTTCTCCATCCATTTGCAATGCACATAATCAGGAATTCAGCTATGTCCCAAGAAACCCGTTTAACCTAATGAGAGCAAATGGCAATGGGTGTTCCTTACCCGAGACAGCAGTGCCAACGTTTCTGCTTAACTGGGACATATTTGGCTGGTTCCAGTGCTTCAAGTGGTTTTTAAACAGGTGTTTAATGGGTGTGGGATTCTGAACTCTGCCCTTTTGATACAGCAATTGCCAAATAAAGATTAACAGAAATAAAAAGATCTAATACAGAATAATAATTTTTGTCTTTGTATATTTATTCAGCATAATTTTTACTTTAAGTCGCAGGCGGGTGGGGAGGTGTTTCTTCTCATAATTGAGAAAGTCCATTAAATAGAACAACAGGATGTCTAGCAGGGTGTCCTAATTAAAATTACCCTGTAATTTGAACAAAACATTCATTTGTATGTAGCTAAGGTTGACCTAAACCCCATCTAAATCAGGAAAAATTATAATACAATTTTTTTTTCTGCTGAAAATGAAACTTAGCATTCTGCCAGCAAACAGCATGGTTCTGTTATTATACAGTATTCAAGAGTAAGGATTTTCTCTTCAGTGTTCAAAAAATAATGTTTTGAGTAAATTTAACAAGAGGTTTCTCTCCTACCTCTACCCTTTGATAGTGTTCATTCATGGTTGTGTTTCTGTGGTATTTGAAAGCAGAGACAATTTTGTTCTGTGCATACTGTAAGCCCATCTGAAGCCTTTGGTCGTGGCCAGTGTATGGTGAACTAATAAGCAACTGAGATAGCAGCTGCTTAGCAGGACTGATTGGCTCGGGCTTGACTCTGCTCTCTGCGACTCCGCAGTTTCTGCCTGGCTCGGAGTGCGAGCCGGGTAATTTTGTTATCTCGGGGAGTGTGGGCCTGCATACATAATCCAGGCTGTCTGCACAACTGAGGAGATTGTACACGCCGTGTAAAAATGACCTGCTCGTGCTCTGGCTGTCATGCTTTGAAATGCTGCTGAGGCAAATTGTATTTAATATAATTTATCAAATCTAAGTGAACGTTTGAAAGAACTAACTTCAGAAATATTGGTTGTATTTAAGAAGAAACTCACAGCATCCTTAACTTGACAGAGCTGCACAAACTGCAGCTTGTGGATGTTGCTTCCTGGACACAGGGTGGTGGAAGTTTGTTTATTTATTTATTTATGCCCACTTTCTGGGTAGGTTGGAACAGAGAGGATTTTCAAAAATGCTCAAAACTGGTCTGAATATGCTGCTGATGGATTCAACTTAGACTTCTTTGCCCTAATTTAAGTGGAAAGAGAATCACACCCTTGTTCCTTTGGATAATCCCACCTGTATGTACAAAGAGTGGTAATTGATAATAGCCAATGCTTTATTTGCCAATGCTTTATGTGCAATAGGACTTCCACTGAATTATTCTTCTGCTTAAACCAGCTTTTACATTTTAATCTCTCAGCTTCAGTAGAGTATATAACAACAAAAGAAAGGGAAGGGAAAAATCTGATGAACAATTTGCTTAACCAACTTTAAGCTCCAAGAAGAATTGTTAAGAAGAAGATAAAATTTGAGACTGGTGTTGTGGTTATACACTTTTCAACTGATCAAGAGCACTTGAATAGAAGGTATTCAAATGTTGGCATAATTTAAAATTTTAGATTCCTGTCATTGTTTTAAAGACAGTCAAAACTGATATGGGTACCTGTTGTTATGTGGAAAGAGTAAAATTAATTCAATCAAACAGGTATTGGCCAAGGTTATTTTATATGTGTGTCTGCACATATATGTTATCGTGAGTATATTTGCATATGCATGCTTTCCAATGGACAGTTATTTTGCAAAGAAACATATTCAGTGACGCCACAGGAAGAATGTATGCACAAATGGGTTGTACTTGTAACTATTCCTTAAGGGCAGTTGAAGGAAAATGGGAATCTCCTGTTGGGGAAACCAGCCAAGCCTCTTGTCTAGGGGTTGCATAACTTGAACATGTATAGGTTTGTGTAACAACCTGTACAGCTGCCTGTGGTTGATAAAATAACTGTAACCGTCTTGAGAGTGTGTGGAAGGCTGGAATGAAAAATAGTAGTTGTGTGGATGCCATTGCTTCAGACTCATGTATGCTGGAAAGCATTGTTTTGTTATTATTGAACAAAAGTCACCAGTTCTGATGCCTGCTCTGGTGTCCTGCCCTTGAGGCCTGGTTGTAGCTTGGCAATGCAAATTCTAACTGCAGTACTGAAAAGGTGTGTGTTGGTTGTTGAGCTGATGAAAACAGGTGAAGATCAGGTGTCTGCACAGATTCTTTTTCTCAGTTCCTTTAATTTCCAAAGATGCTGAATCCCCTGTGGGTGCTAACTGGCTAGTGAAGCTCTTCCTTAGTGACTCCTCCTCCTGAAGATATTGTGGGTGATGGTGATCCCCTACCAACAAAGGATCTCTCTTGTAGGATGTAAAATATTCCAATTCCCTGGAGCAGAGAAGAAAAAGGAAGGGAACTTCAGAGTCTTCCGTATTCAACTGAAATCCAGATAGCCATCCTGCACAGCCATTTGGACAGAGTGGCTTTAGAACTACTGACAGTTACAAAGTTAGTTTCCAGTCAGGACGGAATTGATGTTTCTTCCCTGGAAAGCAGCAAAAAGATGTGTAGCATGGTTACTGTAGAGATGGAAAGGAAAATTCCTGCTCTGTATCTCCAGGTGTATTTTCTGAAGTCCTTGAAAGATTTTTCAGGAGCTTCACCATCTTCTGGTAACAGTGGTTCTTAATCACATGCTTTATTATTTGCCTTTGGCAAGAATGCTCAATTCTTTCCATTTGAGTGTGGGACCTTGCCTTATTGCCTCAGGGAAGTGTTACTCTGTAATGCATGTCACTTGAGGCTAATTCAACCTGCCACTTGGAAAATGCCCTTGGTGCAGATTGTAGCAGTGCACCATTATCTCAAGCTATTTTTCATCAGAGGCAGACTGCATCTGTTCTGTATGATCTGTGTGGCCCAACAGTTTATTTTAGGTTAGCATGTGAGGTAGGATTTTTTTACCTTTAAAGCTGTGATGGGCTTGGCTTCCAGCTGTGCAAAAAGAGTATTTTTCCCTTGTCATACCAAAGCAGCCCTTGACATCACACGGTGTAGGTCTACAGCAGCTTGAACTAATCATGCTGATGCTGCTCTGTTGCTGTTCCTCCACTTGAACAGTTCTGCTGCCTCCCTAGCCCTGACACCCAAGTTTTCTGCCTGGATCTTGAGCTGCAATGAGGGTTTGATGTGGCTAAAAACATATGGAAAAGAAGCCTTCATTCAGCTGAAAGCTCCCTGAACCAGGCACTTGCCCATTCCTGCTCTAGGGTGGACTTGGAGACATGCGACAAGGAAAGGAAGGAGATGAGGGAAGGATGGGGTTGTGACAGCTCCAGTTAAAATCAGCTTACATCATAACACAGCCATGTAAGGTTCTGGAAATGATAACCCAGTGGTCTCAGCAAGATACAGCTGTGAGCTTAGGATATTATAATCTGGGGAGCTGTGGCTTTGGAATTTCCTTCCTCCCCTGTTTTCTAATGCATCATTTTGGTATACATCAGAAATGCTGAAGATCACACACCTCAACCTTTGCACCCTTGAAAAGGGAAAATGATATGAAGGCTTGATTAATTTCTTTTATGAGGTTTGGTTGCTGTATGTCACTAGAAGCAGATCAGGCAGAGGGAAAAAAAAGAAAACATTGTTGTAAGCAATAGGGAATTTTCCCCTTTGAAAAAGAGCTAAAACTTCATTAACATTTCAGCCAGCTTTAAATTAAAATTTGCATCTGAAAATAATCCATAATGTGTTTTGAGTGCCAGTGAGTCATATCAGAGCAGTATCAGCACAAAGTTTCTTGTGCTTACAGCTTGTGATGTGGCTCCTGTATGGTCAGTAACAGTGCGCCCCTCATGCTGGAGTGAGAATTCCCATGGAATTAACACTTGGCCTTGTGCTGATCGTACAAAGCCAGTGTGCCCCAGGCCACATGGCTGGGTGGGGCAAACTGAGTGGAGCAGATGAGTGCTGGGTCCTGAATTCTACACCTGCTTTGTGTGCAGGCTCGCGTGGCCTAGTGCTTTTTACCAAGAATAGTCCTATTCCATTCCATTGCAATAGGTCTGTTTACACCAGAAGAGGTTCCTCTTGTAACTCTGCAAATCTCTAATGTTCTCTTGTAATTTCCATTGGACAGGCCCTTTGAGCATGCCACCAGTGTGATTGGGTCATCTTTCACCCATCCCTACACCACTGATCAGTGATACTTTAATTTTTCTGCCCCACTGTGCACAAGTCATTGAGTTTGATGTTGGGAGGAGAGGTCAGAAGTGAAGCTAGCAGCTATGCTGTGCAGACAGGACAAATGGGAAAACTGCTCTGTATCCCTAGGTTTTGCACATGTGAGAGCATGTAGGCATCTGCAGCATGCAACCTGAATGTTTGGGTTTTTTCTGCAAGGTTTTTATGTGGTCTACATGGATTCAATCTGTAGCTGTCCAGAGCAATTGGTACCCCAACTGCAGAGCCTTTGGAGAAAAACACTTTGCTGATTGTATCATGCTTTTGGTGGGGCATGAGCTGGAGTTCCTGACAACTGTTTCTAAAGGGTTTTCCTTCATGCAACGTCTTAAAAGATAATTTTCTCCTCTTTTTTCCCCCCTCTCTCCTTAGGGAACTAGAGGGCTTGACGCATCCTTTACATCCTGCATTTACTCTGACCACAGTCCCTCCCTGTTCTCACGAGCGGAGCTCAGCCCTGCTTCCCTTCCTGTTGATTCCCAGTCAGCTACATGGTAAGTTTTCATTATCTCTAGACTTGTTGCCATAAGGTAAAGCTCTGGCAGACTCTCTCTAAAATCCATTAGCACTGGGCATTGAGGGCAGAGTACTTCATGCCCATCAGAGACCGTTCAGTTGTATTCCAGGCTGACTGCAAGGAAAGGAAGATAGTATTGAATTAGCATTGGTGCTGAACTTCAGCATAGATTGTTATAGGAATAAAATATGAAGTAAAATATGTGACAGAATTAAATCCATCAGTTCTAATAAAAGAAACAGAAGAAAGCAAAGAAATATTGGACCCTTAAATCCCATTAACCAGGCCAGAGAGAGAATGCGTTAAAAGGAAGCTGCACTGTATCTTTTTTCATTGTTTGATGAAATAATCTTTTTCACCCTTTAAGTAGTGTGTTTAAAACTCCTAGTATTTCTGAAACAAAGGGAATATACAGCCACCGAGCTAGCTGGTTTTTATACCTTCCTTTCTGAGTATTGTCCTTCAGTGCAATACAGAGCCACTTCTTTGTTCTCACAAGCTAGCAGTTAAATTGTATGTAAATGTATGCAAATTAGATGCTGTCTAATAAAGAGAGTCATTAGATGGAAGAAATATTTAGTTTAGAGGGAAAAAAGAGAAGAAAGCAGGTGTATTTTGCAATAGAAAAATGTGAGATTGCAAAAGCCCCTCAAACTTTGGGTGAAGGCTTTTTATAAAGCCATTAAAATATTTTCTAAAAGGCTTGCCCTACTCTTGGTCCTATTTTCTGTGTGTATTTTTATGTACATGTACTTCTGTGTTCCTAAAACTCACTGGCTGTGCTATGTATACAGACATGGAAGTATTGTACTCCTAAGTATTTTATTTCTTTAAATCATATAGCTGTGAATTTACACACATGCACCTTGTACTAGGGTGTGTTTTCTGCTTACTGAGTAGAGAGAGGTGGAATTCATGTGGTAAATTTTATTTTCATAGACTGATTTATTTGTCATATGCCCTGACTGGGTACCTTTTCCCACTAAATAATCTTCCTCCATTTTGTCAACCCTCTCCTCAACAATTTCAAAGTTTTATTTTTCCCCCATTTTATTTATTCACCAGTGCTCTGTGCCAGATGCATTTCCATTCTTTCACTTACATTTTCTGCCAACTTATCCCTTTTGAGGTATGGACCTGATTTAAGCCTGAAGGAGCAGTGACCTTTCTAAACATGAAGTTGCAGCTTTACTGTCAGGTGTCATAACACTAAAATGCTCAGAATGTGAAGCTTTGTGTCATCCAAAACTGGAGATTCCACACCTATGGGTGGAGCATTTATATCCATCTAGGTTCTGAAAGATTTAAAATACGTGAACCTTATTTTCTTGCCACTTTTAAGGAGATGAAATTTGAGACTTGTCTCTCTCTACCTTTTGAATTCTACTCCTGATCTTTCAGCACTTCAGTTTGAGTGGGCCAGTATACAAAGGTGATATGGCTCAATTATCTTCAAGTCTTTGCTGTATTTTGTTTCTGATGGGCAGTTAGCATGGTTTCAGGCAGAGACAATAGCTGTATGTCAACTTGCCTATTTTTTCTGTTGCAATTTTGCAAGTCTGGAAGTCTAAAGACATATATGTATATGTGTATAAAATATATGTATATAAAAATAATGTTGTTTAAATATTTACATACAAAGCCAAAGGACTGGCTTCCTTCCCAGAATTACTGGAACTACCTTCCCCAGGAACATTTGGACTTGAGAAATCTCTACAGCAACACATTTTTACTGAAACTAAACAACTTGTGAAGTGAGTAACTCGCTCTGTACCCTTCGTTGTTCATATGGGTTCTTTAGCTTAGACTGATGGAGAGACCTCTCTGCATGGGTAGTTCATTTCCAGCTAATTATGATAAAATTATCTTTTATTGCCATTTCCATCCCTCAGTTCCTCATAGGCTTATTTTATGAGAGATATCTTACAAGGCAAGCTTGGACATAGTGGGAATATGTTTGCCACAGTTCTAGGACAGGTCCATGCTGTGTGCTGCATCTGAGCAGTGCAGTCTGGGCACTGCATTCCTTTCTAGACAGCTAAAGATCAGTCAGACTGATCACTCAGAACAAGCTGACCCCCAGCTGCCCAGTGTCCCAACCACCCTGGCCTTGGCAGTCAGCAGAGAAGGCACAAAGTGTCTGCTACCCAGTGGGAAATGTAGGCAGGGTGATTGTTAGGGCATGGTGGAGGTTTGGCAGTGAATATTTCAGGTAATCTTGAAGGCATGATGGAATATGTACAGTGAAGATTGTGAGGAACGCAAAGGAAATCTGAGCTGTACTATAAGGAAGCTAAAGAGAGATGAGGTTAAATTGAGGAGTAACATGGGATGTATTGGTGACTCGGAGGGATGAACCCATGTTAGCAAGCAGAAAATGTTGGTGTTTTACTGACTCGCTTGGGGCACCACTCTTCTAAGCTGTCCGGTATTGAATGTCCAGAAGAACTGAGTCATAAGTGATGCAGGCATTTAATATGGATTTTTACACAGAGTTTGCAGTCTAAGTATAGATATGCACATTATTTAGATTTTTAGAGGTGATGGTTAATCTTGAAACCCTAATTGGGAGATTTACACTGGACATGGGACAGGCTGCAAGCAAAGTACCTTCTGTCTCTCACATTATTGGTCTGGTTGCAAAAAATACATGTAGATGAGTGATACTCACATGGGAGAAGAACAATGTAGGCTTAGGGGCAGGGATCTGATGAATTCCACATTCCTTCCCATGCTTCCTGTGGTCTGGAATAATTGTTTGGGGCAGGAGAGAATTCAGTGCCTACCTACTTTTGAGGATATGCATCTTGCTGCCTTATCCATCTCAACAATAATACAGCTTTCCTACTCTTGAAGTACATTACAAGCATATGTATGCATTAAAAGATGTGAGGCTTCTGTATCTTGTGATGGTGAATCCAATAACAGTACTGTAGACAGATATGGGAACCAAACCCCTGGTGCATCAGATCCTGTTAATGTCTTCAGCTTCAGCAATGGGAGGCACAAGAAATCCTAAGTTGTAGTAGTGGAACAACTAATTTTTTTCATTAGTGATCTTGATAGTAAATGAGAATTTTTAAAGCTGTACCTCTCAGGAGCTTGTGCAACTTTAAAGAAATAGTTTTAAGAAATAAATTATGCCACACTAAACTAATCCTAGAGCTAAAGAAGAGGCATCGGGACTAGCAGCTTTTGCTATTACCTACTGCTTATTATTGTTATTATTATTATTTCTTTTTAATTATGCAAAGTGCTAATCAGTTTGATTATGCACGGTGCTAATCAGGTTAATTATGCAAAGTGCTAATCAGTTATTCTCTAAGCACATGAGGAGAGCAGAGGTGCTGGCAGTGAATGGTGGTTCTAGATGGGGGTAGTCACGGCAGTCATTCCTTATTAAAAGAGGAGTAGGTGAGATGATAGGGGTTTTTGCTTCCATTAAAAAGTAAATAATTAAAAAAAGGAAAGCCATGAGTGGGATAGTTCTGATGGGGTAATTCTTCTTTCACAGCAAGGCAGACTTTTTTTCCAAGTCAGCTCATGCTGTTGGATAATTTCTGTAGGAGTTTGAGTGCACTGATTTGGGCAAATGTGTTGCAGGGGAGTCTTTTAATGGCAAGGGTGCAAGGTGCGCCCACTTAATAGGTCGTGGTGCATAACTAGAAAAATCACAAATTAAGAGAGTTTGGTCAATCTAAGAGAGTCACCTTTTAAGCACTGGTAAGTGGGATAGTGATAATGTAAGGTGGATGGCAGTTGTTCCTGTATGGCTGAGGATCCTGTATGTGCGTATAAAATGTGTTTCTTTCAGTGTAATGCCTTTAAAAGCTGCAGGAATGGAGGGTTCCTTATCAGTGGAACATATATTAGGCTGTGTTTCTTCTTCTCCTTTAGCACTAAATTAAAAACTAGAATTTTGGATTCCTGTGAAACAAGATCTGTTTTCACTAAGCTATGTTGTCCCATCAATTACAGAAGATTCAGTATGTCTCTCTTACTATGCTCAGTGTCTAATATCTAAGCAGCATTCCTTATTTGATTATGTGTCAGTATTGGTGTGGGATACATAAGCAGTACTTTTTTCAGTTAGTAATGGGGATGACATTCCCAGAGCAGAAAGCTACTTGTTCATAAAAGTCCTGGGTAAAGGATCTTAAGAGATTTTTGAAGTCATTAAAACAAAAGACTGTTTCATATAAGGCCATTGGTACTAGAAGGTTACTACACAAGCAATGCAAGAGAAATTTTTTTAAAAATTAGGCATTGAAGGCACTAACTTATGGGAAGGCATGACAAATTTTAAGGTGCATTTAGGGTAGGAAGTAAAGCAAAGAATCACTAATATATGGCTTAAACCAGAGCCTGAAAATTCATAATATTTCCTCTTGGCTTTGTGACTACTCTGCAAGACACTGATCCTTAAAACAAGTTTACTACCAAATATGTGGTTACAGATGTTCATCTATTCTTATAAATTCTTTCTGGTGTTGGAAAACTAGACAAATCAATCATCCAGCATCAAGTCTGGTGCCTTAGATCTGGAGGAGGGGAGTATGTGATGCAAATAACTTAAGCGAGAGGGGACACACCAGACACAGTGTCCTGAGACTCTGCATGCTTTGCTGCCTGAGCATCCACATCTTTTCAAGTGGGAGTCAAATCCTGAGAAAAGAAAACTCAGAAGGTTTCATTTTCCTGTGGATATTTCCCTACAGTATTTTAAAGCTTCTGTAGAGTCAGAAGACCCTTGGAAGGCCAGCAGCATAAACTCCACCACATCGTATTTACATTTTAGAAATATAAATCTACCTGAGACATAATCATGACTTCTCTTGAATTTCACCATCTCAGATGGCTGTCCTTCTGATGAATTGGGGAACTAGAAAGGCAAAACTCACATTCTGCTGCTAATCCTACTGCTGTCTTTGTAACCCAGATAAATTGCATTACCTATTACCTTGATGGCAAATATGG